CCCCCCCATGTACAGCCCTAAGATTAGTCTGCCTTGTTAATCAACAGGAATTTGTGCAAGGCAGGAGGGAAGCTCTGTGACTGTATGGACCAATACATAATAAGGTTTGCTGCAAGTATGTGCAGGCACCTCTAGGTTATACTTTATAGTGTCTCTGTCACTTTAAAATAAATATACTCCTGTATTGACATATAATCTTTTTGCCTAAGCTTTGATAATCTTACGAAGGCAGCCTATCACCTTTCCCCTGACAATTTCATCCTAGTTCTGGTCCTGTGTGGCCCTTCGAGAAATCCATACAGGTTGAGCACTTGTAGAAGTGGACAAATGGTGCTTGATCCCCAAACTTTTTCAGATTTCCACCTAATAGTATGGGGGTTGCATTGCTGTCTAAACAATAGGCTGTCCGCTCCTGAAAACCAAACAGACCAGTTTGGACTGAGACTGAAGAGTGTATGCACATAAAGTACAGCACCGTTGTAGAAGTCCACAAATAACACATTTATTTCCATAAAAGGTCAGACAAAAATGGTGGCAATTACCAAGACATTTCAGGGTTGACCCCTTTCATCAAGGTTATATTTGTGGATGGGCCAAAAGAAAAGAAAGGTAGTGGGCAGAAGATCTGGGTGAATCTGTTAAAATGTGTTCTGTAATTGCTAAGTAGCATGCAGACATGCTTGTCAGCGGCTGGTATTTGTAGCCTGTAGACTTTCAGCAATGGGCTGTAGGTATGATTCAGGGCCCACTCTGCTTTTTTGCGTCTCTTTTTTATCCACTTAATCTTTCCTTATGCTTCATTCATCACAAGTCTTGCAGATCAGCAAGGATGTGCAGACATCACACAATAGGCTGTTCAAGGCTTCATGTCGATCCTCATTTTTGAGTGCTCATTCCTAATTGTAACTGAGATGCATTAAACCAAAAGGTCAGATCTTTTTACATTTTGTTTTGACTCATTGTGGATGCTTTTTTTTAGGATTTAGAGGAACAATTAGAAGAAGAAGAGGCAGCTCGACAGAAGCTTCAACTTGAAAAAGTAACAACTGAAGGCAAGCTGAAAAAGATGGAAGAAAATATTCTTCTATTAGAAGACCAGAATGCCAAACTGGCCAAGGTAGGGTGTTTACAAGCAGCAGGGTTTTAGGAGACAGTCTGTAGGATCCATAACTATAAGAGAACCAGATGGTTGGGCACCCAGAATCACTTGCTCAAGTATATTTCTCACAAAAAGAGGCATCTTGTACTTAGCTGGTGGAGATGTTACTAGATGTTGCCTGCAGAGTAATGGAAAGGTGTTCGTATCAGGAAGATAGGTGCCTATGAGTAAATGCATATTAAGTACCAGATGGTTACCACATTTTGCAACAATTAAGAAATCATTCTTATGTTTACAAGTTTGAAATGCATATATGTAAATGGTTTTCTTTTAGAACATAAATTACATTCATCTGAATTCATAAAGGGTGTCTGCGACTATCTTTAGAGTTCCGTCGTGCATACACACAACAAATGTCGGTGCTTGCGCCAGATTCTAATACCTGTTGCAAACAGGTATATGAATTTGGAGCAAGCACTGCCATTGTGGTGCGGAGGAGCCATGAGACTGGAGTGTCCATAACGGACTCTCTGTCCTCAGTGCAACTTAGCAACACAAGCCTGATAAAAGTCACAGGGTCTGCATTACTGAGCTCCCACCTGGCCACTGCACCTGCCACACAGGCAGGTGCAATGGTAGAGTGAATGGCAGTAAACTGTAAATGAATATGGAGGTTAAAAGTGTCTGGGGGGAATATAAATATATTATATCTATTTATATAAGTTTATAACTACATAGACACATGACAGCAGAAAGTGGGAGGGTGTCCTAGCCAGCCTGCTTGGGAATTCAGAGAAGTGAGTTCCTCATCAGGTCAGCTTTGTTGCTTATTGACAGCATGCAGTAGGCGAGTGCCTTAGTCAGCCTGCTATTAGTTTTGGCACCCACACACTGCCTGCTGTCAATCAACGGCAGAGCAGACCTAATGAGTAACTCAGTTTTCAGAATTTCCCATCATGCCTGCCTACTCAATGTCAATAAACTGTAAAGAAAGGGGATACTGTCTGAAATCTTTACCTAAATATGGTCATAACTGGGTAATGATATCAGCCAGCAACCCCAGCACCTTTGTTTACATTCAGCTGCTGGCTGGGGAATCTCCTTGCCAGCTGCTAAATGGAGCTGGGGATCCATAATTGGATGCTAGGACTCCAATGGTGTTCTAGCAACCAATGACCGGGAAGCTGTCAGATTCATGACAGCTTTCAGCACATACATGCCCCACTCTCAGCACTGGCATCTCAGAGCTGGTCTTAATTACTGCCCGTTTTTCAATCTAAACTCACAGTAATTCTTTTTTAATCTGTCGTGGCCATAGCGACAGATTCAAAAAGTGGCAGTATTAAGAACTACCTTAATCTGTTGCAAGTATTGTTAAAGAAGAACTATGGGGTCAGTGCTTTTCCCCATAGTTCTCCTAAGGGTAACGGGAGGACACAAACTAGAGTCCTCCCGTCACCCAAAGCTCAGTATGGTATACTGAGATGCCGCAGCCGGAAAGGATCCCGACAATGCTGTCTGGATCAACCCAGCTGCGTGAGTGACAGCTGGCTCTGCCTATGTAGAGGCAGAGCTAGCTGTACCTGCCCCCTCCCCTGTTCGTTCCGCCAGTCAGCACTGGAGGATCGGACAGGGGAGGGATCCCTGCAGTCAGCCGTGAGTGACAGTGACACGGCTCTCTGCACGGATAGATCGAGAAGTGAGCGAGCGATGGTATGTGTTTGCTTATTTCCCGATCTACTGAGCCGACCTGTGACAGTTTAATTGTCACAGGTCAGCTCAGATTATGAGGCTGAGTGAAAAGCACTTGCCTCATAATTCTCCTTTTAAAGCTACCTGAAACTTGCAACAAGGCTTTTTTGAATTTGGCGCAGGACCTTTTAAAGGTCTATACCACCAGAAAAATGTCATTAACTCTTTATTGAATTCCCCCTATAGTGTTCTTGTCTTTTAATATGTGAATTTAATAGTATATGCGTGTTGTTGTGTACTTGCCCAGACTGTATGGCAGACTGAATCAGATGTTTAGATGGTTTTAAATTTAAAGTAATACATGTAGACATATTTACATATTTTGGCAATGCAGCATGCAATGCAAATCAAACCTTCACTATTGTAAATGTTACAGGAACGAAAGTTGTTGGAAGAACGCATTTCTGAATTTTCCAGTAATATGGCTGAAGAAGAAGAGAAAATAAAGAGTCTTAGCAAACTCCGCAACAAATATGAAGCTGTCATTGCAGATATGGAAGGTAGGAAAACAATATTACTGTATGTGTTGTCTCTGAAATCAAGGCAGATAAATAATGCTTAATATATTTTTCATTTTCTGTAAAGCTGCATTTTATGAAAAAAGCTTGAAAACTTAGTTGGAAATTGCACACTTAACTGCTGCCCGATATAGCTGTACAGACCCCTATTATCTGCCCTCCCATACTTCTCTGTTTGAGTGCTGAGAGCTAAAATAAATACCTGGTAATTCCAGGTATAGTGAGAAGGTTGGTCTTAGAGATATTCTGTCCGGGAGATAACTATAACAATGTCTCTGTACTATCTCAGAAACATCAGGAATAGCTCTCAGGACTTGTGGAGTCTTTAAAGTTTTTACTTTAATAAATCATGAAGCAGCAGTTATTACTGGTTTGCAGTGAATCATATCCTTAACCCCTTCATGACTGGTGACGTACACCCAATGTGAAGTGCCCAAATGACTGACCATGTACACTGTACGTGATCAGCTATTTGAAGCTTTTAAATGAGTATTGAGGCATCCGTTAATAATGGAATTAAGCTTTTCTAAAAGCTTAATTTCTTCTCAATGAAAGAATCGAGTATCTGACAGTGACAACAGAGCCATATGAACGGCTCTGCTATATCACTGTTTTGACATCTCTGCACAGATCGGGATCTGTTTTGACAGCTCTCTACAGATCCCGATGTGTACAATGATACAATGTTTCATTTTGCTACATATTTCTATGTTTCATGGAAATATGTAGCAAAATGAAACATTGCATCATTGTAATAAAAATCACTGTAATAAAAAACATTGTATCAGACTTTTGATTGTTCTAAGAACATCAGAAGTCTTAAGTGACATCTGAATCTGACATGCTGCAGGATCAGTGTCACTAAGGTTATTATTGGCTGTTCTAAAGTTTTAAGCAGCCTAATAATAACCAAAAATGTAAAAAAATATTTAAATTATCAAACAGTCATAATTAACTGCTTAATATAATAGACAAAAAAAGTGGGGGGAAAAGCGTAAAGTATAAAACAAAAGTGTAAAGAAATAAAAAATAGTTTAACAAAATAAAAATTATATATACAAATATATTTTATCCTATAATTATTATACAAATGAACCCCTCACAATGAAAATCTGCAGCTGAGCTGCAGATTTGTTTTTCAGCCTAACGGGTTAATTTTTCTATGTAACCCCCTCATGACTGCGTTGTTCAAGTATGTCGCTGTCACAAAGTGTGACAGTTATTGACACTTAGTTACAGTGACATTGTAGGCCACCTAACCTAACCACTATTAGGTGTTAGAGAAAAAAAAAATGTTAGCTTTTTGTTTTTAGGCCGAGAAGTACAAACACATTTCTCAAATCCTAGGGATGAGAGGTGTTTCCAAATAAAGGACAAATAAATGAATTTATTTTAATGCATTTACTTAAGCTGTACTAATTTTCTAAAAAAAACAATAATAATCAAAACTGGGGGAAAAGTGTTTTCTTTAAATTTTTTCCTCTTTTTAAAAATATTTTATTCATCCTACGTGAGGCGCTAGGCACACATATGTGATATAAATATATAGCCCTTTCTGTCCTCTAAAAAAACAATATATAATATGTGTGGGTGCACTTAGGAAGAAAGTATATTACTGCCATGGAAGAATCACACAGCAAAAATGGAAAAAGTGCTTCAGTCATTAAGGAACAGAAACAAAATAAAGCTCAGTCATGAAGGGGTTAATAGTCTATGATAAATCTTTCCTTACCTCTCAGTTGTTTTCTTCATTGATGGTCTAGAATATCTGTAGTTGGTGAGCATTGGTTGTCACCTATTTTTAACCCCACACTAATCGATCATCTTTAGCTCTTCTAAAATCAGCTTTTCTAAAAGTATTGAGTACAAAATTGAAAACTGTACGTATAAGTTTCTAGTAATTATATGCAAGTAAGCGTCTCAACATAGAGAGGAGAATTGTGGTTAAATGCTAGTTCACAATGCAAAACTCCACCCTTTGGGTTTTAATCATCACACAACCTTTGCCCGCTCTGAACACTTGGAGTAACAAGATGGTTTGAGTCTATTAGACCTCATCAGCATGGGGCAGGTAGTTGTGGTCAACATGTGCTTATTGAAAACACTGCTATACATCAGAATTTGTTAACAGCAAAATATAATTACTTAAACATTGATGTTATCCAAAAAGAAAATACAATGTAATTTTCTTAACCTTTAAGATCGTCTAAAGAAAGAAGAAAAAGGCAGACAAGAGATGGAGAAATTAAAAAGAAAACTTGATGGGGAAACATCTGACTTGCAAGATCAGATTCTAGAGCTTCAGCAACAGATTGAGGAGCTGAAACAGCAACTTGCACGGAAGGAAGAAGAGCTCCAGGCAGCCCTTGCTAGGTATATTTGGGATGGTGGATGTTGTAGCAGTGGTCTTGTCTCCTATGAGTGGCAGTAAGCCCTTTGTTGCTCATTCCTGGGGTATCCTGTATATGAAATGTTAGTTCTGTTTACTCTTAGAGTTGAAGAGGAAGCAGCTCAAAAGAACAATCTACTAAAACAGCTTCGAGAAATACAGTCTCAGCTCTCTGAATTACAAGAAGACGTAGAGTCAGAAAAGGCTGCAAGAGCGAAGGCAGAGAAACAGCGACGGGACCTTGGGGAAGAGCTGGAGGCACTGAAGTCTGAGCTTGAAGACACTTTAGATTCCACAGCTGCTCAACAAGAACTAAGGTGAGCATTAGCACAATTCTATTTATCCATGCAAAATTACAGTACATAATTTTCTTTATGTAAATACATCATCATCATGGCCTAAGTTTAGTGTTTGATTCTGGCAATTGCCCTGTGATTTTCTTAAAATGTGTATGTGTTCATGCAGTTTTCTAACCTGAAACACAGAAGTTCTTGTGGTACTGGTGTTTCCTCTGATGCTTAAAATACAGGTGTGACTTTTCACCAAACTCTGTATTTCGAGGGAAGTGGGAATACAAGATGGTGTATCTTTGCGTTGTTGAGTTTTTTAGGTTACATGAAAAGTTACGTCTGCCCTTATATACAAATTAAGTTCCTCCTCCTGTACATTTTCACCCTCAACATATGACTGTGTGTCACTTTTATTGAGGCTCTGATATGCGAAATAACAAACAGGCTAGCCTGTCACACATGGCCTAATCTCTTAGCACAATCATAGTTACAGGCAAAGAAAATGGAAGAATACACAAGAAGAATCAGAACAACCATAAAACCTGACATTTCCAAACTTCAGAGCTTGATTTGTCAATAAATACATGGCAATGTAGAGCTCTCACTCCCCTCATCCTTCACACCCGGATACATTTTCTAAGAAGGGGTTGTTAATAAAGTGATCCTGTTTATTGTTAGGGTGGATTTGTCTGGGGTGGGGTTTGCTGTATTCGGTGTAATAATTATACAGCATTAGTGACTCTGGTCTATAGTAGTCCCTAGCAGTGTGTGAATATTGCGTTGTATTGTGAGTTTTGAGGCTGCAGACTCCAGAACCAGGAGGGTTAGGAGGTCTTTTGTTTAACTTTGAGCTCTTGTAGACTTGCAGATATAACTTTAGAAATGTCATTTTTGGACAATGACAAAAACAAGTACTGGCTGCCCCGGAAAGTAAAACAGAAGTTTATGTATTTATATATGTGACTGGAGCCTCTGTTTGAAGTGGTGATGAAATTCTAGCTCGGTGCTTTGTTTAGGTCAAAACGTGAACTGGAAGTCACAGATCTTAAAAAGACAATTGAAGAAGAGGCAAAAACCCATGAGTCTCAGATTGTGGAAATCAGACAGAGACACACACAGGCACTGGAAGACCTCTCAGAACAACTGGAACAATCACGTAGGGTACGTGTGCAAGCATGAAATAACTGTTTTTTTTTACCACAGCTGTCTAATTCTTAATCAGATGCTAGAAAACATTCTAATGCATTTTTAGATATGATTCATGGCACCTCTTGAGCAGTGGGGCTACCAAAACAAAGGGCTCAGTACAAATGTGACTAATGGGGGTTTGACCACAACTGCCTATTCAATACATTAATCCTGCTGCTGCCAGGAGAGTGGTTAGAACACGGTGGACCATTGTTTCAACAACAGGGATGCTGGATACTCTTCTGCATCCAGTGTCCATGTCAATCTAGCCTTAGAGCCTTGGTTCTCACCTGGTGGGTTGTGACCCAAAAGTGGGTAGCGACCCCATTTTCAGTGGGTTGCCACATGTCTTCCACTTTTCTAGGTGAGAGGCTCCTCTGCCTCCCCCTGTCAGTTCTTGAGCCAAGCAGCCATTCAAAATATGCTGCCCGGCACCGGATGTCAGTATGAGGTGAGATGGGATGGGGCTATGGCCGCGAGGGAGCTCCATCAATACATCCATTCCTTGCAGCTCCCTCTCAAGTCCCATAGAGGTGCCATGGTGACATCACATTCTGGCTCCCGACACCTTTACAGGATGCGCAAGGGAGCTGTACAAGCAATGCACATATGGATGGAGCTCTGCCACAGCACAGCAACCCACACTGGACCCCAGGCTAATGATCCACTCCAGTTCTCTTTAAGGTCTGCGTGGACCTTAAAAAAAAAAAACTTTTTTGGAGTGTGTATGAGAATGTCAGTGAGTGTGTGCGATTGTGTATGTATGTCAGTGTTTTTGAGGGACTGTTCACACTAGTTCAGTGCATTAATCGCTTAGTACTGTGTGATTAACGCACTGTACCACGCAATCGCACCTACCATGCATTCTGGTGTGGAAGGTGTGTTGTGTTGCCATTAATTTGAATGGTACCCCAAACGCACCTCCCGAACACAGTTCTTCCGCCCGCACCGGAACACGCTGTACCCTAATGCTGTGCATTCTATTGAAGTGCGACTTGGGTCGCGACTTAATGACCAAGGACAAATGTGGGTCCTGAGGTTACACAGGTTGAGAGCCACTGCCTTAGAGTATTATGTGTGGAATGATTATACATTTATTCATTTGCATCTCATCTTCCACAATTGTAACCTTCATATAATGGGAGCATAATTGGGAGTCTTGCATTCATCTCCTTATGCCATACAAAGTTCACACTTCCAGTGGGTTTCCTACTCTTTCTAGCCCAAATTCTCCAAAGTGTTTTAAATAAGCCCTGGTTCCTAGTCTGATATACCTAAAAGGAGGACAGTACGAGGCGAGACAAATATCTTGAGCCTCTAGTGGAAAATCTGAGCCCCCTTCACTTACCCTTTACTTGGAGTGGTACTAAGCCCGGCTGCTGGTCTTCCAGGGTGGGAACTAACAAATAAAATAAATTGTAGTAAAAAAGATGTAAGAAACATGTATCTACAGTTTATAACCGTAATGTCTGCTATTAATGCACATTGCTAGAGTATTCAGTCTTTTTTATGGATGGGAGGAACAGGATAACATTAGGGAAAAATATTAAAGCCTATGTATTTACTTTAGTTTTTTTTTTAGCTTTGTAAAGGTCAAACACAGTACTAATACAGTACTTCAGGCACTAGATGTGTTACCGTATGTGTATTGTGTATCTTTGCAGTTCAAGGTGAACCTGGAGAAGGTGAAACAGACCCTAGAAACTGAGAATGCTGACCTGGCAAAAGAAGTCAAGAATCTTCATGCCACGAAACAGGAATCTGAACAGAAGAGGAAAAAATTAGAAGGACAGGTGTCTGAGCTTCAGATCCGGGTGTCTGACAGCGAGAAGTCCAAGGCTGAACTGGCAGAAAAGCTGCAGAAAGTACAGGTAAATGTGACCTTTACATAATCAACACATTTTACAAAGCATTTTACAAAATGTACATATTTAGGGTAAAAAGAAGTGAGCTTGATATAGGTGATGGTGCATATTATGTATGTTCCACTTTGCTTACTTTCTTGGGGAATGAAAAATTCACACAAGTTTTGTTAAATCTTCAATTTACGTGGGCAAGCTTTCACTTCTTGTGAAACCAGTGTTTTGTGTGTCCAAGCCTGACATCCTTTCTGCCTTATGGAGGGATATCATGCCATCCACTAATAGAAAGCACACATCACCACAGGAACAATTTATGACAGAAAAAATGAATTAAACATTTTTTGTCAAATATATTGCGTTTCTGTGCCATGTGCTTTCACATTCAAATGGACTTGCTCTGTAATGTTGAAGACATTAGTAATCTCCAAATTAGAGGTGCACCAAAATGAAAATTTCAGAACCGAAACGAATCCGAAATGAAAAAAAATGTCAGACCGAAAATGTTTTTTAATCTAACTTTTTCAATGTTTTTTAAATATTTTTTTTTATAAACTTTTTTTATATTTTATTTTTATTCATTTTTCATTTTTTTAGATTATTTTTTACTTTACTTTTAGGGGCTTCGGGGAAATATTAGGGTTCTAAAATGGAAAATGAGATTGAGGACACTGAGTCCTCAATCTCTTTTTCTGCAGCCCGTGTTATAAATGAACATGAATCCTCTATACTGAGTGTTCCTGTTCATTCATAACATGTGGATATAGTATGTTTACTATAGCCACAATCATGAATGAACAGGAGGTGATGTAGATCACTTCCCATTCATTCATAATTGAGGACCCAGTAAACAAACTATGTCCTCGATTATTTACAAACACTCAGCGATCACTGACTGTTTGTACCCGCTCTACATTCCGATAAGCTGTCACAGGAGGCTGGGGGTGCTGGTTCGGGACGAGAGCTCAGCTTCCTGTGACAGCACTGGCTGTCTCCGCCCACATCGCTCCTCTCCCAATCTGTGATTGGAGGCTGAACAGTGCAGGGAGGAGAGACGGCGGACACTCACAGCGTTCTCCTCCTGCATCGCTCGGCCTTCGGTGACAGTTTCTCTCCTCCCCGCTGGGACACAGAGCAGTGCCCAGCGGGCAGGATAGAAATCACCGGTGCACCGCTATTTCGTCCAAATAAATGGCACTTTCGGCATCTATATCGGTGCATCCTTTGTCCAAATAACTTCCACAGTTCTAATGAGTGTCAGAAACTTACCCCAACATTTATATCCACACACCTTGATATATTCCATCCAATCACCATGGAATATATCAAGGTGAATGCTGATTGTCCAAGAAGGCCATCCATAATTTTACCTGCCTTGATATGTTTCACGATGATTGGATTTAGGTGAATGAGTTACCTGCGTGACTATAAGTACTGGGATGTGGTGTTGCCACTCATTTAAAATGAAGTTGCTTGGATAAGCAGCAAAATGTCTAAAACATTATATAGTTAAACTTTACGACTTACTACTAGCTATAAGTACTGAGTGCATTTATTTTTCCTACCGACTCCAGCAGTTTAGAAGGAATGCCAGTCTCCACATATTATCTTTGACTGGCCAGATTGGGCAAGTTGCAGTTTTTTTTTTTTTAGAAATAGGTTTCCATTACAGTTGAAAGTTTTCACTGTGAGTAGACATGTCTATATTGTAAAGGCAGGGCAATGCATTTATGTTTCACAATCACTATAAAGTATAGTCAATTTTGGTGTGTTATGCTTTTTCACAGGCTGAATTAGATGGTATATCTGGTACACTGGGATCAACAGAAAGCAAGTCTATTAAACTAAACAAAGACCTATCAGCAGTGCAGTCACAGCTGCAAGATGCCCAGGTACATTACTCTTTTTTCACCCTTAGTGCTTTCTTTATCATCATATTTTGTTGTTACTGTATTACATGCAGTGTTTTATTTTCTCCTAATCGGTTCTGTTATTTTTAATAATAATAGTTTTAAATAACTTTGCAGGAATTGCTACAAGAGGAGACTCGGCAGAAGCTTAACTTTAGCTCCAGGGTAAAACAGTTGGAAGAGGAGAAAAATAACCTAATGGAGAACTTAGAGGAAGAGGAATCAGCAAAAGCTCAACTTCATCGTCAGATTCAGGCTCTCCAACAACAGGTATCATCAGCAGTCATGGATATATGTTCTTGGCATCATGAAATAAATCTCATTGCTAAGCCATTTTACTTTTTATCTGGCCAATATATAAGGTTATATAAGCTGTATCACTCTGAATAGTCATCATGCTAATGAAATGCACAGATGCAATGTCAGAAAATGTGAAAATGGCAATTGACCACATCTGATTGTGTTTGTGAACACTGTGTACTGACCTAATGTTGAATATAGTGCTATGTAACATTTGGTTGGCACGGATTGGCCGTATTTACAGCCATGCAATGGGTGTCAATGAAGATGACTGTTGGGCTCCATTGTGAGAATGTAAATGTACAAATCTTAATTACTCTACTCTGTTGGCAAATCCAACACTTGCCCATGGTCACATATAATTTATAATTGATCCTCAGCTTGGTGAAACAAGGAAAAGGATGGAAGATCATGGAGGTGCTGTTGACGGTCTGGAAGAAGCCAAGAAGAAGCTGGCCAAGGAGTTAGAACTTATGCATCAACGTTTCGATGAGAAACATCAAACCAGTGACAAGCTGGAAAAGACTAAAAACCGCTTGCAGCAAGAGCTGGATGACCTCATGGTTGATTTGGATCATCAACGGCAAATTGTTTCAAACTTGGAAAAGAAACAGAAGAAATTTGATCAGGTAATTAGAAACAGTGTAATAATAAAAAACTAACATGTAGTGTATGACCATACGCACAAAACACTACTCTGACTGGCCTTTTAGGAAAACAAGTAAATCTAGCTGTTATGAGGGTGGGCACCTAGAGGTTCTTATGCATACTGGCTTCAGCTTAAGTTGTTTCCTGCACACCTAGAGGCTGGGTCATTATGTACCAGCAAAAGTCTAGCATATCCATGTTGTGACAGCCCTTACCTGCCTCCTTCTACCAGAGGCAGTCCATCATTGTGAGAGAGGCAGGGATGCACCTGAAAGTACACTACATTTGCTCATCTATACAAGTTTCTAGAGCAGACTGCTATAGCTGCTCTGCAAACCATGAAAAAAATAACCCTTTGCATTTCTCTATAACTCAGAGAATGATTTACATGACAGTGAAATGATTTAAAGCATATAAATCAGATCATTGAGATAGTAGTTGTCTAATACATTTTTAACACTGTTGATACATTTTTCCTCTAGATGCTGGCAGAAGAGAAGAACATATCAGCACGCTATGCTGAGGAGCGAGATAGAGCAGAGGCAGAGGCTCGTGAAAAGGAAACAAAAGTCTTATCTCTGAGTCGATCCTTAGAAGAAGCCCTTGATTTTAAAGTTGAACTGGACAGACATAACAAGCTGCTACGTGCAGAGATGGATGACCTTGTCAGCTCCAAGGATGATGTTGGCAAGAATGTATGTAGGATTTATTAATTGCCTTTAAGATAAGATGTACTTGGTGGCATGAATGTGATTTTGTAACACTAGGCATGTTCTCTTGTAGGTCCATGAATTGGAACGGGCCAAGCGAGCTTTAGAGCAACAAGTTCAGGACATGAAGACTCAGATGGAAGAACTGGAGGATGAGCTTCAAGCCATTGAAGATGGAAAACTCCGCTTGGAGGTCAACATGCAGGCATTGAAAGCTCAATATGACCGAGAACTCCAAAACCGTGATGACTCCAGTGATGAAAAGAAGAAACTCCTGATCAAGCAGGTAAATATTAGTTATTATTATCACTCTATAATAGCTTTGTAACAATTAGCACCTAACGCCTAACTGCAGCCAAAAAGGTTTTGGTTTTTTTAATAGCTTGTGGAAGAGATAGAACATTTGTCAGTTTTATAATGATGAAAGGTGTGGGGCGCTGGTTCTTTTAAAGCAGTAGCTGTTCTCATTGAAGTCTTGAGTAGTGTAGAGGAAATTATTCTCCTTATGCAGCTCTCCCAGGTTTATAATTCTGTCTGTGACTACCTTGGCCAGATATTCTTTCATTTTTTCCCCTCTAACAGCAGAACAAGTAATACATTAATCAGGGGTTACTGAGATACATTTAGGTACATTTAGCAATAAAAAGCAAACAGGGGATCCTACCCCTTCCCCACTCTACTAATAAGGAATGTCTGACAGTGATAACAGAGTGGTGTGAACCGCTCTGCTATCACAATTTTGACAGCTCTGCACAGATCCGGATCTGTTTTGACAGCTCTGTACAGATCCCATGTGTACTGGCTTTTTGCTACATTTCTATGCTGAAGCATAGAAACACGTAACAAAATGTTTCTTTGTTGAAACATTGTATCAGACTTCTGATCGTTCTGGGAACAATCAGAAGTCTTTAGTAACATCTGATCCTGATATGCTGGAGAATCAGCATGTAAGGATCAGTGTCACTATTATTAGCTGTTCCTAAGTTTAGAGCAGCCTAATAATAACCAAAAATGTATTCAATTATCAAGCAGTCGAAGTGAGTGCTTGATATAATTAACAAAAAAAAGTATTAAAAAAAATGTAACAAAATAAAACCTATATATACAAATATATCTTATACTATATTTATTATAAAAATTAACCCCTTACAATAAAAATCGGCAGCCGTGCTGCAGTATTTAAAGTATGTCGCTGTCACGAAGTGTGACAGTTAGTGACAATTAGTGACAGTGACATTGTAGGCCACCTAACCTAACCGCTATTAGGTTTTAGAGAAAAAAATAAAATGTTCGCTTTTAGTTTTAGGCCGAGAAGTGCAAAAAAAATGTCTGAAATCCTAGGGATGAGAGGTGTTTCCAAATGAAGGACAAATAAATTAATTTATTTTAATGCATTTTTTTTTGCTGTACTATTTTTCTAAAAAAAACAATAATAACCAAAACTGGGGAAAAAGTGTTTTCTTTATGTTTTTTTCCCCATTTGTTTTATATTCTATTCATCGTAAGTGAGGTGTTATACACACATATGTGATATATTCATATAGCCCTATCTGTGCTCTGAATAACAATATATAATATGTGTTGTTGCACTCAGTAAAAAAGTACCGTATTTTGCGGTCTATAAGACGCTCTGGACGATAGGACGCAGGGATTCTGTGACAGAAGCTGCAGTTAGTGACCGCTGAGACAGGTGGCGCTGTGATTACAGCGCCACGGTCTCAGTAATCACACACAGGAGACGAAGAATGACGTTCTTCGTCTGCTCAAGGGGCTCTATGGTGAGCTCCTATGGGGGATCGTTACGGGTCACTGTCCCCCAGAGGAGCGAGGGACTCCGAAAACCACGGCGGGGGGTGGACACGATCGCGGCCGCCGCTCGATTTAATACAAGTGATCTAATTAGATCACTTGTATTAAACGAGTAGCGGCTCCCACTGTACATTCAGCTCTGCTCGTCAGTAAAAGGGGTGAATGTACAAAAAAAAACTACTCGCCCGACACCCGAAACTACATGTCCCGGGCGTCGGGTGATAGTTATTCGCTCCATAAGACGCAGGTACATTTCCCCCCTCCTTTTGGGGGGAAACAAGTGCGTCTTATGGAGCGAAAAATACGTATATTACTGCCGTGGGAGAATCGCACAGCAAAAATTGAAAAATGTGCGTCAGTCATTAACGAACAGAAACTGAAAAAAAGCTCAGTCATGAAGGGGTTCATTTTGTTCTAGGTGCGTGATATGGAGCTGGAACTGGATGAGGAACGTAAGCAGAAAACCCAGATTCTTGCTGCCAAGAAAAAACTGGAAATGGACTTGCAGGAAATGGAAAATCAAATTGATTCAGCTAACAAAGGCCGGGAAGAGGCAGTTAAGCAACTGAAAAAACTACAGGTAATATTATGGACTCTTTTTTACCTTTTCAGTGCTTAAAATTGAATTTGGTTGCAGGTGCCATAGATCTATCACAAGGTTGCACGTTTGCTAGATATGGCTCAGAACACGAGTAGATAAAGTAGATATGGTAGAGGTTTGTATTCTTTCTAGCAAACATGTCTGGGGGTATTGTACTTCACAGCATTTACACCAAGGATGTTGCACAAATTTGCCATCTGACACCACATACTTATTATGTCCAGCCAAAACTATTTTCTTCGTTTTGGGTAGAGTGGGAAGAATTAGAACCCATGCCTGATTTTCACTGCTGTCAGAAGCTTCAAGATATTTAGGGCCCGTGTCAACGGCATTTAAACTTGTGTCGATGGCATCAGTTTGACATCAGTTTGATACGCTTCTGAGAGCATTCAATCATTGACAGGTGCATTTGACTTGCATCTGACCTTCTTCTGACCTGTGTTTTACCCACTTCAAGCAGGTTCTACATTCCCATAGACTCACATGGGAATGCCAAACCCACTTGAAGTGAATAAAGCTCATCACCACCGGCCCTTACCCTCACTTACAGTCCTCCTGACCATTTTACCACATAGTAAATAAGAGTCCTTCATTTATTTTATTATTATTTTCTTATCACCCAAAAATGCCATCTGTACTGTTTTTATCATATCAGCCATCATTTGACTCTGAACCCTGGAGGGTCATGATGTCCACTCCATTCTGTAGCCCTACTTGGTAGCTCCCAGATTCTAGATGGTGATGAGAAGTCAAGTATATTGTATACTAAGTCGAATGTAACATTCAGGAAATACCGTATATCCTAAATAACAAAATATGGCCAGATGGAGCTGATGAGTATAGGACATAAGTATATATTTCTTATGCTCCTCAGCTCCATTGCATTGCCATTAATATATTCCTATTAGATTTTACTTGAAAAGAAGGAACGTTCATTTTTGCCTTTATTCACACAGAACAAATGTTCACAGAGATTTGCATGTCAAATGGCCCTGCAAATTCTTTATAAATAGACCCCTAAACTCATGTAATCTTCCATTATGTAACTGTAACATTAACAATCCATTTAATGATAGTTGTTCTTTAAAAGAAAATGTATCTGTCTTTCTTATGCTTTAATGTACAGTATATTTTTAACTACAGATGTAGTTTTGTGTATAATACATTTTTCATACCTTTGTAACTTGTTATGGATACAGCTTTGTACTCTTTTGCTTCACAGGTTAAATATGTTTCTCATTGCATTATTAGGTTGCACTTTTATTCACACATTGGCTATCTAACAAAAAACAGTAATGGATATATAATTAGAAAAGAAAACCGTTAACAGAAATATAAGCTTGATCTTATTAATTTTAGTAATTGTCAGTCCTGCCCATAGCTGGTATTTTGGTCTTTATGATGGTGGCACATATGATTTAAATCATACATCAGAATCTATATTTCATTGTGATTTTTTTAACAATCAAATACCTGCACTGTTATCTGAGTTCCCAGCTTTATTAACATTCCATGGCCATTGAAAGTCATTTACTGTTGCTGGTAGATTCTTATTTGATATTTTTTCAAAGAAAATTGTCTTTGAGCCTCCACTTTATAATGACTGTGGCATAGAATATCTCACTGGAAGACTGGCACAAAAATGTTAGGTAGGCTTAGGTTTTAAGGCTTCTTTCATTTTACAGCTAGTAGGTATATTAAAAGTGTATTGTATTGAGTCCCTACCATTTGTGAACTTGGATTTATGTAGTTATGAAATATTTGAAATCACAATTTCTGATGGAGAATGACTTGTATTACAGTTCCAGCTGAAAGAAGTGTGGCGGGAAGTGGAAGAGACTCGCACATCTCGAGAGGAAATGTTCATCCAGTCTAGAGAAAATGAAAAGAGACTCAAGAATTTAGAAACAGAACTCCTACAGCTACAAGAGGTGTGTCATGGTTGGGGTCAGGTCAGCATCTCTTATATCTAGAGGTGCTAGACATATGCCAAGCATAGAAAAATGTTATACCAATTGGATTAACCCTTTTTTGCTCAAAGGTCATCGATGTCTAGATGCCCAGGTCAAATTTGACAGCATCAGCATGCATCAGTTACCTTGACAATAATTCTGTGATTTAATTTGAATTCCTAAATCAATGTAATACATTTTTGTGAGGAGTTGTTTTTTAGTATACTGCTTTAATAAAAACTCTCTCTCTTTTTTAGGCAAAAATGTTTTTGTATTTTAATTTATTTGTTTTGATGATTTTTAAAAAAAATACTATAATCTAACTTCAGCATTGAACCTATGGCACTGCAGATGAACACTGCAGCCTGGGGATGGCAGTGTTTTTCTGCATACTAAAAGCTTTCATTTCTTTCATTGAAGCCTCCAGCCTGCATGTATTCACTATGTTATAGCTGATATAGTGGACACATAATCAAGAAACATGGTGATTGGTTCCTCATTGTCAGTGGAAACCTCAGCTGTCAGTGACAGCTGACGGTTTGTGCAGCTGGTGGCTGTCAAAGAGGAACAGCATTGAGCATCAGGGACTTTAATACACACATGCTGGGAGGGAAGGGGTTAAACAGAGGAACACTGATGTGCTGTATGCATACAGTGGTGGGTTCTAGTAGCCCCACACATTGTCTTGTCTGGACTATAGACACTATGTATGAATATGCTGAATGTTCTAAATCAAAATTAACATTACCTGCATCATTACAGGAATTGGCAGCTGCAGAAAGGGCAAAAAGACAAGCTCAGCAAGAAAGAGATGATCTGGCTGACGAGCTGGCGAATGGTGTTAGTGGCAAGTACGTATCTGTTTTTCCAAACATATTAAATAGTACAGTAGTGCTGTAAACCATGAAAGCTAATCGGCTCCATCTTCATCAATGCACCGCTGTAACCTGATAACTGGTTGCTTTGGGTTACTGTGTTAGACACATAATCATTGCACTTTGCATATAATTAAAAAGTCTGATAATGTATAAAAGTGTACATACTGTCCAGTGAGATTCCACCTGTTTTGTTTTCAGTGCAGACGGGGATATTTATACAGTGATGTGACAAAAAACTCGAGGGACTCCCACATTACTTTATCCCTTACCCAAATGTCCGTTGCTCCCGCCTGTGGTGTCGGGAAGCTTAGTGATGTACTTTTCATAACCATGAACTGAATAAGGAATAACTTCACCAAGAAGGAGTGGGGCTTAGTTATGGAGTAAAGCATTCCTGGGGTAAAGCATTCCTTTGAAGTGTCCTTGGTAGCAAATGGTTTACCACCACTTGCTTGACACAATACACTTACAATAGACCTTACACTCCATGCAAGATCTGTTTATTTAGTAAAGGCACCCTTCCCCATCTTACGCCACTTCAAAAATAAAGAAGAAAAAATAGCTTTTTGGGAATTTTTTTTAATATACTTACCTTTCCCCTGTCTTCCGTACTGTGGGGGGTGAGGGCACCGTCCCTCCAACAAAATCTAAGGCATGCCGAGTACTGCAAATCTTGCAAGATGACGCTACAGCACAGTAAAGTAACGTCTTATCACGAGATGTGGGTTACTCCGCATTGTTTGATCTCTGCTTTAAAGAGCACTGGTATCATTTTGACTAGATGATGTTGTAGATATCTAGTCAAAGTGAGAAATATATGAGCGTTTGAAAAGTTACGGCGGAATTAAAATATGCTCAGTTGCAATGAGTGGCAAGTACTTGTATGTAAAGTAATTATGGCATTGTTGTCATGATTTTATCACTAAAGGTCTGCTCTTCTGGATGAAAAGAGGGCTCTGGAGGCCAGAATCGCTCAGCTGGAGGAGGAGCTTGATGAGGAGCAGAGTAATATGGAGCTGGTTAATGACAGATATAGGAAATACACCATGCAGGTAAAAATACATTGCTGTATCAGAACAGATGACATATGAACCACAAGCACTACAGTTGCTGTAACTGTTATTTCTTCTGGGCATTTGATTGTGTCTGGAAGCATGTAATCCATTATATTATTGCTGCAGTCTGTTGAAACAAGGTAGACAAGAGATGAAAATCTACTTAACTTGGATACTAAAAATATCAAATTGAATAGAGAAAATGTAATAACTTTTTTAATCATAACAGCAAAATGGACTCGCAAAATCCTGGAACCAACACAAGGCTTTGAGTTTGAGAGGATGGGCTGAAGAAATCATTGTTTTTGAATCCCATGAAAGAAAGCAACACACATTAAATTCTAAACTACATTTATTTCAATGCATTTGGTCTCTATGGCTCTAATTTAAAGACAAAAGATATACAAACAGCTTTTGTTTAACAAATGACTAGGTCCTTTAGGATATCCTATTGGAACGATCATTAGAATAAATGTAAACTTTGGATACTTTTGTTGAAATATTCTCTGTAATTTAGTTTTCTTCTTGTATCACTTTTAAGGCACGTTTGACTCTCTTTTTTTTGATGCACCAAGTGATAATAGCTTTTCAAACAAATTTCAACATCTCCACTAGGGATGCACCGATACCGATGCTAGTATCGATATCGGTGCCGATTCCGAGTATTTGGGCAAGTACTCGTACTCGCCCAACTGCTCCGATGCCTAGCACGAGTACTTCAGGTATCAGGAAGCCGGGCAGCGCGTCATTACACACTGCCCGGTTTCGCGATTGACCGGAAGCTGGCCTCGTGAGGTAAGGTTACCTTACCTTAGTATGTGCAGCCTGTAATCCCCCGGGGCCTCTCCAGCGAGAATGCGGCCTTCGTTTGGTACCCAGCCCGTCATCTCATGACAAGAGAGCATGGAGCCGGCCTCCCGGCCAATCAGAAAGCAGGGCGTCGCGTCATTACACGGCGCCCGGCTTCCTGATTGGCCGGCTAGACGGCTCCGGCTGGTTACCGTACGAAGGCCGCGTTCTCGCTGGAGAGGCCCAGGGGATGACAGGCTGCACATAATAAGGTAAGAGGGGACTTTCTTGTTAATCGGGAAGCCGGGTGGCGACTCTTTACACGCTTCCCGGCTAATCAGGAAGCCAGGTGGCTTCCTGAATGGGACTTCCGTTACTCGGTAATTGGTATCGGCGAGTACCGGAAAAAAAATATCGGTACTCGTACTCGGTACCAAAATACCGGTATCGGTGCATCCCTAATCTCCACTATCCTTTTTACACAATGAAAAACTTTCGTAATAAGATGTTAGATAAAGTTGTCTCAAGTCTCACCAATTTAAACTGAACATATGAAGAAAAATCAAATAGCTGAAGGCTATCTTCAGTAAAAACAACATGCCAAAACAATCAATAGATACTTCAATATGTTAGGTAGCTGAAGATATACTGTATGTATGTGAATCTAAACGTTTCCTAAAGAAGTTGAACTTTTCCCCACACCCTTTAAACACCCTAGCCTCCATATTACTATTTTAACGTGATGGGCAGCCTAATCTAACCAATAGGGTGTGGTGGTGGGACAAGGCAAGACTAACATTATTGCTTAGGAATAGTCAAGATTTGGTGTCATTTCATCTGCCTATATCTCTAAATCTGCTCCTCATTCTGACATGCAGTTGTGTACTTTAAAATCACAAGATAATAATTTTGGGTGTTTATAATACCTGAATCAATTCCCTTGTTGTTATAATACCTGAATCATTTTGTTTGTTAATGATTCAGAATATATTACTACATATGATACTTGTTTTGGTTTTAGCATGCCAATAATTATCTTTCGGCTTGGTGCATCAGGCCCTAAGTATTATATGAAAATGTATAAATATTCATATGAAGGTGTACAAGCCCTGATTAGCTCTGAATGGCCACATGCAATGTAGTGTGACACTGTTATATGTCACTGGAAAGAAGTGCAGCTCCTTTAGGATAAACCTTTAGCAGACTTAATTTCTCCCAGTATGCAGTAAAGCAGAACAGCAATCAAATAAATGGCGGCACAGAAGGGAGAACTAAGATGGTGTTTGTTCTGTCATGTCAATGTTAGTTGAGAATCTATATATCCTTTATATAGCAACCTTGAAGTAAATATTATTAATGGCGAACAGGTAACTGTAATTCCTCTATCTACTTAAATGAGGCCAGAGACCTATCTCTGGATGCTACAGAGAAACATCTCCAGCTCACATAGTCTATAGGGGGACTCTGCAATCTATATTGGTATTGGAAAAAGCAGTTTGACTTACCTGATCCTGGCTCCCCCAGCAGGTGGAGAGCTCCTTGTCTCCTATACACTGCAGCTTGTGGTCTGTCCATCAGTGTTCTCACATATAATGCCAGGCTATTGGCCCTGCATTGTACTTTATAATGTCAGTGGGCCTCCAATCGCTGAAGCGTAGGGGGGAAGAGACTGTGGGTGGCAATCTTGTAGCCCAGAGGAGGCTTGCGGGTGTGGGGAGCAGGTAAGTTAAAAGTCCTTTTTCCCCGATGCATAAACCTAAACAAGCATTAAATCCTTGCAGTGCAAAGGCAGCCTTAGTGCAAGGGGAGCTTTTGTATTTTTCCTGGAGTTTATCTTTAACAATGAAAGATATGCATGACTCCAATTATGTTGTAATTTTTATCTTTAACAATGTAAGGTATACATGGCAGCAAATATATCACATTTCAGCTTACAATTAGGTCGTATTAATAATAAGAGAATTATCAGTGTTGTATAAAATGTTCTCTTAAAAGAACTGTCCATTTTACAAACTTAGATGCAGCTTGTTTCATGGTTTTCAATGCAGGAGTGTGAATGAGTCCTAAGTGCTAAGCTGCACACGTGATTTCACACAGTTTAATGTAAGATCAACCTTTTTTGAAATTCACCTAACCTGGAAGATATTGATGTCTCTGTTTTACAAAAGAGGCTTTTATTTTATTCATATTTAAATCTCATGCTACTAGGTCATTAAGATCTATTAAGTGTAGCGAAGCCCTAATTCAGCATGGCACACTAGGTGCTCTTATAGGTGGAGGTTTTAGACTTTTTAGGTTATTTTTTTAAGCACACGACAGGGGGCGTCTGTGGAAATCTTTACAGTAACATCAACACCATCTTATGTTTCCAACAGGTGGAGACAATGACTACGGAACTGTCTGCAGAAAGAAGCTTCTCCCAGAAGGCTGAAAATGCCAGGCAGCAAATGGAAAGACAGAACAAGGAGCTTAAAGTAAAATTAAATGAGATGGATTCCAGCGTAAGGGCAAAATACAAGATTGCGATTGCTTCCCTAGAGTCCAAGATTGCTCAACTGGAAGAACAAATGGAACAGGAATCAAGGTGAGTGTAGACAATATTCAAGAAGTGTAAAATCAAGACATTCCGCTGTGCAGTTATTGATTCTCATTAAATTGTCTTTTAATTAGTTTAAAAAAGAATGTGACAGTATGTGATGTAACTCATTGCACCCCATCACAGTCATCTATTATTAGCCCGACTGCACTAAACTGCTGGATCTCTGGGTGATATTACAGCATAGAACCCAATATGGTGATCAGTATTCTGATTTTCCAGGCCCCTGATTGGACAAACCGCATGTAAAATAAACTGAGCTTCAGTAGAAATATGTGAACTAAAGTCAAAAGGAGGTACACAAATGTGAAACATCTTATTTTACTCACGCATTATATATTTTTTTAACTCAAAGGAAAGCTTTGCCTTGTAACCTGCATAGGCTGTGACTGATGTCCTCCTGCTAGCTGCCTAGCTGTTAAGCTTATCTATTGGCTACAATGCTTTTTGAGTCTCTTACCTAGAACAATCATGCAGCCAGTGAAGTCAGAACACCTGATTTACTTACTGATTTAATGACTCAGAAAAGAAATGAAGCCACCATATCAGCCCTAGAGCTGATTGCAACCCTAGCACACTATAAAACCAGATGTGACCCTTTTTTCCTATGCAGCACATTGCAGCGTACGTTATTATGCCTTACAGTGTGCTGCAACACAGGTCTATTGCCTCAGTGCGTTGCATTGCCATTCAGGATGAATGGCAACACAACGCTCTAATGCATGCATGCTGTGATACCATACGCTGCAGTAACAAGCCCATTACCAGAATGCAGATGTTTAAAGGAGAAGAAAACAGCACATCAGTAATACCTCAAGGTAATATTTACATTTTAATTGATTAAATATTAGCAATGCTAAACAGTAACAATGCTAAACAGAGTGCAAACCTTGATCAGGGCATCACTCAATATATTCCTATCGCACACATTCCTGGACAAGGCCTAGAGTAAAATGGTGCAAGCAGGTTGGCCGGTATCAGCACATGGATAAGAACATATGTTGTCACCACGCCATGGATCAACAGACCAAAAGTTTTATTGCTGCAATTACAAACAGTGGCAGTGCAATGCATCAAAGACACACAGGATGATCACATGCCTGACGAAGAGGTCCTATGTGGGCTCGAAAATGTTGCACTGACGCTGTTTGTGATGTGATCGCAGTAATAAAATGTTTGAACTGCTGATCCATGGTGTTGCTGGCAACATCCTCGCACTGACCACTATCATACTTCCAGTGCTGCTCCCCCCTCTTAGGCTGCAATCACACCTGACCGTTTTGTAGCGCGTCCTACGCTCGACGAACGCGCTACAAAACGGTCAAAAAAATAAATAGCATTGTAGTCAATGCCCTCGTTCCCACCTAGGCGTATTTCCGCCCGTCCCTAACGCCCTACAAAACGGCCCACGCCTGAAAAGGTCCCGGGACTACTTTGGGCTGTTTTGTAGGGCGTTTTCCATTGGGATACAGCCAAGTAGCCTTTGGAATCGCGCGACGGTCGCGCGACTTTTTTACCGCGAATCGCGGTAAAAAACCGCGCGACGGTCGCGCATATTACAATACGCCTAGGTGTGAATGGGGCCTTAGCTGTAAGTGTCTCTGCTCAGTAGGACACTGATAGTGCTATGACATCCTTATGTACCCAACACTCATGTGCTGTTTGGGACATTTCTACGGCTGGAGAATTGCATTCAAGAAGGATAGCAAGAGAAGCCCTTGTTTTTAGAATGTGTGACTTTATCGATCCTTCCTTCCAGGGAGCGCATTTTGGCAAACAAACTGGTGCGACGTGCTGAGAAGAGGCTGAAGGAGGTGCTTCTACAAGTAGAGGAAGAGAGAAGAAATGCTGACCAGTTTAAAGAGCAGGTATGCTTATCTCCAACTAAAGCTATTGTTTGAGTTTTAAGTGGAGGAGCTTAACATAACAGTAGGGTACAATAGGTTCAGTAAAAATGACCTTGTTATTATCTACAGTGCAGTGAAGGGTGATGACTGGTGTCTGTGTCTGTGCTGTGTGAGGCAAGCTTAATGTATTGTCTTCAGTGGGTATGGCACATGCATGCCATGAGAATCCATGACATCAGTAACAACATCACCCTGAAGCTTCAATTGTAGAAACACAACAGTGGTAAATATGTTGTTAAGTTCTGCTAATAATTGAACTTCTAATAGTGAATAGAAAATTCGGAGCTTCCTTTCCTGTTCTTTTTTTAGGAGTGATGAGTGATGTAGGTAAGGGTATCAATGACCACACAGGAAGGGAAGATAATATTTTGAGCAGGGTTCATGACAGTAATAAAATCCCTTAGTCTACTGAAAAGATTTGATTTCTTCCCATATAACCACACAGGAAGTGAGGATATACAGCATCTCCCAGGCAGGGACAGGAATAAGTATGGATTTCCCATTGCAGTCCTGCTGTAGTAACAAGCAGATGGCGCCATACAGAGTGAAGAGTAAGCCACCAGCATACCATCATCTTGATCATCAAGAATGCCTTATAAAGCGATGTTTGGGGCCACGCAGGGTCCCTTCATCAGGCAGTGTCATCACACGTGTTATCATGATCGAATAATGTCAAAAAAGGTGGGCTTGATGAGAAAGATGATGGAGGGATGGCAATAAAACCCAACATAATTTTTCTGACCCTTCACCCACACTATTCAAAACTGAATAATTGTCTGGTGTAGCACTGTTACCGTTCCTCATGTACTACATTTACACTGTAAAATAGATTTTTACGATTATGTACTTTATTTCTGTTCTACTGGGAACTGCAATGGCAAGACAAAGTTACCATAGTTATTGGGAATGTTCCTATCATTACTGGAGTTTAGGATATTCTATGATGTATAATAAAAATCCAAGGAGCGTAGGACACTTTCATAATGGTCACGGCAGGTATTCAGGCTTTGGATCTGAAACTTAGAGATCCTGCCATTAGCATTCCCAAAGAACATGATACACTGCTGAGTGTTCCAGCAGCAAAAAAAAACTGTAAGAACTGACCACTGAACATGATGCATCTGTTCCATAGCATGAGAAAGCACACATCCGCATGAAGCAGCTGAAACGCCAGTTGGAGGAAGCTGAAGAAGATGCCTCACGAGCCAATTCCAATCGCCGTAGAATTCAAAGAGAGCTAGAAGATGTGACAGAATCAGCAGAGTCCATGAACCGGGAGGTGAACACTCTCCGAAGCCGACTCAGGTAAACGTCACCATCTGCCTCTTTTCAGATTCTTTGGAGACAAGTGTTGGTAATGGGCCACATTTTAAAATCATCCCTAATAGGAATCGCCAAATCATCTGCCAGTATTCCGCTTTGGAAGCCAATTCTGTAATTAAATGAAAAACACCTTAAATAACGTTTCTTAATCCGTCAATCGGTTACAAGTTATCTCTTTACTAATTCATGCTAGAAAAGAAAGGCTACTGCCATTTTGTTTACATCAGAGCTTTGTTATTGTGTATACTGTGCAATTCCAGCAAAAACATTTATCATTATTAGTGCCTATTCACACTGGCCTGCAGCGTTTTCCTGTGGGGGCTAGGGTCAACTGTGTACAGGAGGTGGTGTTTCAGCACATCACATGGTTTACTTTTTTTAGGCTTATTGAAGTGTCTCAAAATGAAACTTCAATAAAGTTAAAGCATTGCAGCTGAATTGGGTTGCAGTGACCAACAGTGACTTCAGTTGGGCCCTGGTGTGGGAAATCCAGGGATCACTGCAATCCACCTCAGGTCAGCATCGCAGTGTGAACAATAGAACACATAGAAAAACAATTATTTTTTGTGTGACCTGTATTGTGCAGAAAAACAAAGCTCACTGCACATTTTGTGAACGAGTTCTAAAGGTCTAGAACATCTGTTGGGACATCCCTGTAGGACAGATTTTTCTTTATTTTCCTGTCCTAGTGACCACTGTCACAGCACAAGAAGTGAGGAGAATTTCTCCAATGGGGTGCAGACAGCAATGAATACCTAATAGAGGTCTGAACATTTCCCCACTCTACTATTCTCCTTTTTTTTTTTAATCCTGTGTCTACAGTAAAACAAGACTGCAGTGATAACTCACCTGAGGTTCTAACTAGCACTATAATATGATGACTTGGCTGGAATTGACTACTGAAATATTTGTTGACTTAGAAGTCCGAAATGATAAGAATAAAAGACTTAAAATGTCATCCTTATTTTTCCTGGTTTGGTATATAATTACTATTATAAAATGTCACTAGTATTGGAACTATAATATTCAGCAACTGACAAGGACCACTGATCTCACAAACGGCACTTGTCATTTCTCTAAACTTAATTAGCTGTTTTTTTTCTTTACATCTTTGCACTCTCTTGTAACAACAGCAAGTTAGAGCGACAGCACCGCAAGTACGTCTACATGCATGAGTTTGTGTGAGAGATAGATTGCTTAGAAGATGCTTTAACTTTCCCATACACCTACCTTGCCGGAGTCCTTTGCAGCGCATAGAGCTGCATGGGGCTGACACTAACAATGCTTTTAGATTTGCTTTTTTGCTGTGCTCCTCTGTTTGTTTCCCTATTTTAACAATTCCCTATTTATCAAAACTTGTGTCTGACAGGTAAACACTTGGAATTATTCATTACTGCTGTATTGCTGCAAATGTAGGCACACCAATGTAGGTTGGAATGTTGACAAGTTTTCTTGAATATGCAGGAGATTTAAATGTCTCTTTATTTGAGGGGTAGTCAATACATAAAAAAAGTGGGCTTTATAGCAGTGGGTATCTTTAGAAAGATCAGCAAAAGCAACCATCATACAGAATCTATTCCTGCCCTCTTAGGCTCCATTCACATCTGAGCATTTGGAATTCAGCACATTTATTTGTGCGTTCAAAAACGTGGACCAAACCGCGCAAATTTTAATAGATGTGAGTTTTTCCACACGCTCGCAGCTACAACCACAATCAGAACTTGCGGCAACCACACAGAAGATCGAGCATGTCGTTTTTTTGCGCGTTATGCATCTTTGTCCGCGCCATCGAACACGCACGTGTGAACGAGTCCCTATTAGAATGCATTGCCTTTTGTGTTTTGCGTATATCTATATGCGCCCAAAAATGCTCAGGTGTGAACCAGGCCTTAAAGTGACACTAAACTCAGGAGTTAAATCTTAAAATGCATTCAAGTACCTTAACGTTTAACAGATATGTATCTTGTTTACGTATCACTTAGCTGTAGATCCTCAAATCATCTCTGAATTGGTGCTGACACTGTCCTTCCTTCTGGTGGGTGGCTACTTTTGTTGCCCATGGTCCCTATGTATGTTGTAAAGTAGTCACCGCTCCAAGCTCACTCCTGTAATGGGCTACAATCTCAATACTAATTAGTAAACTAAATGTGAGATTGTAGTCCATCATGGGAGTTAGCTTAGAGTGGTGGCTACTTTACAACACACACAGGGACCATGGGGAACAAAAGTAGCCACCCTCCAGAAGGAAGGACAGTGTCAGCACCAATTCAGAGATGATTTGAGGATCTACAGGTGAGTGATACACAAATAACATACATTATGGTTAATAGGGTACTTGAATGCATTTTTAAGGTTTAACTCCTGAGTTTAGTGTCATTTTAAAGAGGAGCTTTAACCCCCCTCCCCCATTTTCCTGCTGTTTTCCCTATGCCTTCTAACCTATTATGCTGGGTTCTCACCAGAAAACATACTCACCTGCCCAGCAATTCCAGTGTTGTCCTGCTGTGATCTGCCAATCCACTGCCACAGCCTGGGTCCTCGACCGCCAACTTATTTTCTGACATCATCGGGGCTGACTGTCTGCTCCAGGTTCTGCAACCTTGATGATGCAAGGTCAGGTCTGCCTGCCGGCTGTTATGTGTCCCTACTAGTTTGGCCTCCTGGGATATGACAGAAGCAAGCACATGTTATTCTCGCCTAGATGAGAATGGCGGCAGGGAGTGGGTCCGGACAAAAGAAGTTCAGTTAAATAAATATATTGGCATTTTACATTGAGATTGCAGGAAACTAAAGTGATTCTGGCCAGTGAAGGTCCACTTAAAAACCAAATTTCCCTAAAATCATGTGTCACTGAAATGTGACTACTGAGATAAAGCTCTGAACATTGTTTAGCCAACCTTGGGCTGAAAGAACATTTGAGAAGGTGACCTCTATCATACTCATCAAAGCCCAACAGAAATTCTTATAGTGATCTGCTAAAAAACAGAATTGTGAGTAACACAGGGTTACAGCACATTATTGCACTGGCTTTGTAATTAAGTATGTGTAGGTTACATTTCTTTTTTCATAAGGCAAAGGCTAACTATTTATTATTATGTTATTATGTTCAAGGCAAAATAGGTAATTAATGCCATTTACAAAGGTTATTTCTTTGCAGTTATAATATCTAAGATGCCCTTGCACTTCAACATCAGACTTGAATCAGCGTATTGTAATGACATTTAAATCAGAGATGACGTTACAGATGTCAGAAATAACTTATTTCTTACAGCGACTGAAATAACCTCCTGATCTTTTGCCTCGTTCTTTCTTTTAAGCCTGTTAGATATTTGACAGCATGTCTTTTTTTTTGCTGTGTCTCCTCATGCTTTTCACCCTCCCCTATCTTATGTCTGACAGAGTTGTGTCTTTCATAGCCATGTGTGCTATGAAAGATAATAAAAACATGTCTAAATGTATTATGGGCCAGGTGCTTGTGAACCCTCCGTGCACAAAGGAGTCCCTGTCTAATGTTTAAAGATGGTATGTCTATGGACAGCAGTAGCAGGACCCCTGCTGGGCAGGACTAGCTGTACACACAGAGCTCCCTGTGCTTAACCCTGCTGAGTTATCACTATCCACCTCTTGATGTGCATGGCGCGCTTAATAGTTTACCTAAGTTAACTATTTGTACTTCAGGATTTCTATTCACATATGGTGCTAATATAACACAGGTTGGCCCATTTATGGTATGCATTGGTTTTAGCAGTGATGCTGCAAGCCATGGTTTCAATAAAGCTCAACTCCAGCCAAAACATTTGTGGTTTTTTTTGTTCTGAATAGAGCAAGTAAGAGTTGGAATCCCTTTCAGCTTTTTATTGTAGTTTTATTGTAGTTTGTGTCCCTGTTGGAGAGCGTTACCCCTGCATCCTGTGCTGGTGACAGCATGTCACAAATACAGGGAATGCTGTAAATCGCTCTGATGGAGAAAGAGACCAAAACAAAAGCTGTTACTTTATAGAGTAGGGAGGGTTTAGAGCAACTGCCAGGTGTTTATTTGCTCAGCCGCTGTGAGTACTGCGTTAGTAAAACACAGCTGAATGCTGTGTTGCAAGTCAGCGCTCTGCATTGCAAACTTAGCACCTGCAGCAGAAGTGAATGTGGATTGTGAGCGCTGAGTGTGACAGAGAGGTGGGGACAGAGCACCAGCGACCATTTTAACTGTGAGTACACCCAGCGGTGTATTTAGCTTTGCTGCTGCCCTGCAGCTTAGAGCTGGCATGTGACACTGGAGCTGTCTTACGCAGGCTGTAAACCAAGATATGAAAGATCACCACTGATTGGTCAGCTCTTAGTGTCTTCCCCTGCAGAGAGGAGTGACTGTCAATCACCACCCCCACAGTGATTTCTGTCCTCCCCCCGCTCCTTCAGCTTTCATTGGAGGGGCAGACAAGGGAGGGGGCTGGCTTTTGTTCTGGAGAGGTATGGCCGCTGTCCAGCCAGGTTGTTGGCATGCTTTCCGAGCACTGTCAGCAGATAGTGGGCAGTAGCATTACAGTAAATGTACTCTTGTGAGCCATAAGAGAAGTATAGCCAAACAAAGGTTTGTCCTTACTTTTCTTTTAAAGAGTACGGTGCAAATGGTGTCTTATAAAATGTTGACACTCGTAAAGGACAACTTATCTTTAAAGCTATGCTATCTGGCTCATTATCGGATGGATTTGGTCATTTTCAGACCTGGAAACGATAGTATCTGCCAGAAGTGATGTTAGATGTAGGATTGTATGTGGACTGTAGAGAGCTCAGATTGGCTGCCCAAGTATGAAGGGGATATCAGAAGAACAGTAAATCTATTCTGTTTGGTACTTTCCCCAGTTTTCTCAGGTCAGAAATCTTCAGTTTCAAAGAGCCTTTTGTTGGTCTAATCTGGTATCAGATTAAAATACTAAGATTTTTCATGGAAAGCATGCTATTATTATTCTTGCAGTTTATTTTCCAAGTGCTTTAAACATCTGTAGGATAGGACATGTTCCTATCCTACAGATGTTTAAAGCGCTTGGAAAGTAAACTGCAACAATAATAATTGTATGTTAGGAGGCTGTGGGTGGCGGAATCCACCATGGAAATACATGAAGGGTGTTAAATCAAGTAAGAGAATTGCGGGTTTTCATAGAAGTGCCCTTTAACCTGCCCTGTTAAAAAAAATAGCAACATTTCCTGCAGCTTAGACAAATTGTATGCTTGGCCCCAAGTACTATGTCAACAGAGAATCATACCTGATATATTGAGCCTAGAAAACTTAGGTCATGTGCAAAAATTATGTCAGTGTGCTTTTTATGTCCAAGCTGTATTTCACTCAAAGTCCAGCACTGGTCACTTTAGGCAGTGGATTATTAGTCTGCAGATGACAGTCTTTGGGGCTGCAGACAGATGTCTCATCCAGTTCTATGCGTTAGTGTTATATGGCGTGATAGACAATCTGGTTTCATGATAATCACATGTATGCTATTTGCATTGCAGTCATTTTGTGATTAATTCTATTTTTCCCTGCACACTCCAGTTTGGGCATCCTTAATTTGAGTAAGGAAGACAAACTGTCTTATAAAGATGGCTACACACAGTGCATCTGACTATACAATATCCTTTATATTTACCTTATTGGATATAAATGTTACAGATGAGATAGATCCTCACACTACATAACTGTCTATTAGTCTAAAGGAGATTGTACCAATATTGTTTTTTTCAAATTGTAATGTGTCTGGCCATCTAAAGTCAATGCTTGACTTACTGTAAGGCTCAATATAAATATTCATACAATAATCCACAGCCTTCTTCCCATACCCTGCCTGCATACCTCCCAGTTGCATTCTGTAGTTAACTTAGTAGTGCACCGAAAGTAGTGGTCACATGACCACCTCTACTTCTTTATTCCCCTGCTCCAATGTTATGTGGCTGGGCTTGAACAATGCTTGTATGCCTTACATTTGGATGTGCAGCACACTCTGGAAACTACATTTCCTCACAAGTGAAGCTCTGATATAGCTCCAAGGTGCCGGCGAATAAGCCTTGGAAGCACACTATATGTAGTTTGTAGTACTACATGATGTGTCTATGACAGCTTGGACTAGAGGAAGAGGAGTGCAGGAATCAGAAAGTGTTGAGCTGTGCAGCAGAGTGGACAACATATTTATAGAAATGAGATAGAGATTTCTGATAATATGGGAACAGAACCTTGTCAGAAAAACAAAATTGACTTTAAGGCAGTTTTATCTAATCGTTATGCAAGCTTTAAAAAAGAGCTTAACCCCTTCATGACTGAGGCCCTTTTTTCCATTTTTGCACCCATGTTATATTCCACATTGTCCGGCGGGGGGGGCGGCCCCTTCTTCGGGACGCAGAAGCGATCTGGCGACAGGTAAGTCGCCAGGATCGCTTCTGTTGTAAAGCCGACAGTCGGCTCTACAAGTTTAAACAGACTCCCGGCGGCAAAAGTCGCCGGGAGTCTGTTTAAACAGCCCCGATGCTGGCGACGTACACTGTACGTCGTCAGTCACGAAGGGGTTAACCCGCTTATACAGTATGTATGCTGCTTCATTTTTTTCCTATTACTCTTCCTACGTGAATTTCTGTTTTGTAGCGCAGTCATTTCTATTTCTTGAATCTTATTATTGCCTGAGGTTTCACTCCATTTTCATTTCCATGAAATCAAAAGTTCTCTGAAAGTAAAAGCATCAATAAAATGTAATTTGAAAGAAGAAACAAATGATGAGAAAGTCAAATGTCTGATCCTTAAATGCTCTATTTCAAACATTTGTAAATGTTTACTTTGCTATCAAAGGTCAAGCGCAATGTATGAACATAATAAAGAATTTGTTTGAGTTCTGTGCAGGTATGCTCAGCTAGTGGGGATTTTTCATTGTATGCTCAGCTTTTTTATAGACACATTAGTAGATCTTCCTCTCTGCTCCTAAAGGTCCTGAAACAATTAAACAAGAGATTAATGGATTTATGTAGTTTAAATGCAAGGTGTAGTGTATACTATGCTGGGGGATTACAGAAACCTCTCTTTTTCTAATTTGTAGTAATCATGAAATAATTATTTTCTCTCCCATAAGAAGCTCCCTAAACTTACAAAAGCATCTATAGACCTTTCAGCATTCTCAGACAATGATTTAGTCTGTATGGCTATAGAAGTATTGCTCAGCGAATTGAGAAGGTGGTACTGGATAGTTTGTCTTCCATCAGACATGATGATCACTGATTAAAGCTGAACTCCAGGCAAAACCATTAACAATATTTTAAGTAGCAATTGTCTTACCTACATTCATGTGTCTCATCACAAAATATGTTATCTGTTAAATGAAACTTGCTGCCGTTCCAGTACAAGTGCAAATTCCGGTAAAGCCAAAACTGCTGCAGCTTACATATGAATGGAGTGACCGGTCGTCGTCATGCTCACATGGAATATTTTTTGGCAGCACTGCCTGTTGTGAGAAGTTCCCTCATGCACAGGCTCCAGCCTTCACCTAGCTCTACCCTTATTCAGCAACAGGGACATGCGGTCAGGGGAGGCAGGTGAGGCAGAGCCTCACCTAGTATTATGGAGGAAAAGGCTGTCAGCTTCAAGTCTGAAGCTGACAGCTTTCTCTCCATTCAGATTGGCTTCTAGCAGGTTACACAGAAGGGAAAGCTATGTAACCTGTCATGGATGGAGCGCTGCTTTTTAATTACAGGCAGAGCTGCATTCGGCCTTTGACAGGTAGTTAGGTTACACAGCAGCGGGCGTCTCCACTGCTTGTGTAACCTAACTATTGAGGCAAGAGCTGTCGCAGCCTCTACACGTTGTTAGAGGCGTGAGCTCTGTGGATGGCTTGGACCAATGGCAAAGGCCATTGATCTCGATGCCTCAGCAGAGACGAAGAAAGTGAGGGACAGGGAGGCTCTTCCTTGCCTCCTCCCTTCCTCCTTTACACTAGCTTGGGGGCAGGGCTTTGGCCAGCAGAGGGGGAGGGATGTGCTAGGGGCGAGGCTGGGGAATGCCTCACCCAGAACCAGAGGTACCGCACGTCACTGTTCAGCAAGAGTGAGCCTGTGCAGTGACAAGGGTGTATTCAGAAACCCAGTCCCCACCCAGAGCACCACCAACAAGAACAAGCAATATGCTTGCAAAAGCTTTCCCAGGCACAGTGCTGATGGAAGCTGCAGCGTAAGAGTGTCTACATGACAAGGATGGTATGTAGGACCTCTGGCTGGTCCCCCCCACACACGTACATTGTAGGAGAATGTGAAGGCTGCAGTAAAAATAAAATGGTAAAAAGTCTCTTTAGCACACATTTTGGACAAAAAAAAATAAAAATCCACCACCGTTCCTAAATCTGAGGGAGGAATAGCACATAAATCATTTGCATAGCTTAGAGTGATGTTTTAGCCATTACAAGAATTCTTACATCATAATTCCACTGTCCTACATGAACATATGGGAATCCCACTAATATGAGGAAGAATCATTCCCCGAGCACCATGCATCCAAAATTGTGTGCATCACTTCATTCCTCAATCAAGTTTGATGTCTGTCACCAATGTAATCTTAAACAACCCTCTGTGGTAGTACTAGCAAATATGAGGAAACATCTTATAAAATGATAAACTGTAAGGCCTTGCTCACACCAAATGCAGAGCAGATCCACTCAGGTTTCTGCACACGCACACTAGTCTTTTTGATGCGTTCCAGATCGTTTTTTGTTTTTTTCAGGAAGCTAACAATGTTATGAGGTCATTTCTTTTTACCTCTGACCTTTCATTAGCTGTTCTGATTATTTCCTGCTTCCTCTGACCTTGTCTCACATGTAAAATTGTTGCAACATGGATCCATGGTATGCAGGCATGCTCCTGGTGATGGTTATTATACTGCTACGCCAAAGTGCTGTAAGGAGACGTCGTTTTTGGGTGCACCCACTGATGAGTGAAAGAGATCCAAAGGGCCAGTTTGGGACTCTATATATCTCTCTGGGTCACAAAATGTGTCCACCATTGTTCCTTTGCTCTCCAGATCAAAAGGTCACCTTTTTCAACAAGCAGGAAGTGACCAAGGAAGATTAGGTCATGACAGATGTTTTTTTTATTTATGGTTAGTTTTTTTCATTTAATTGCATTGCGTTTCGTTTTTGATGCGTTCCAGAGCAGGTAAAATAGGGCCTGCTGCAGTTTTTTCACCTGCTCTGGATCTGCTCTGCAACTGCACGCTGCGATGTGAACTGGAGCAAAAAATATCATTGGAATACATTGGACGCAGTTTTGATCCGGTCTGCACCTGATCTGCTCTGCACCTGCTCCGCGCTTGGTGTGAACAAGGCCTGAAATGATAAACTACACCAATTAATGAATAAATATGCCAAGCAATTTGCTTAGGCAGTATGGACTAAATATTTCAAAACAAATAGATTAATTGATCAGCTCCTGGGTTCCCAAGCTTGGTATACAGAACTTACCTATTGTTTTAAAAAAGGGAAAGTGCCATGTTACCATTGGCACATCCCGTGACTCCACCCTGCATGTACAGAAAGGGCAGGGTCTATCTTGCCTCACCCTGCAGCAACGGGTAACTAAATGAATCTTTTGCTTTCTGATAAACTCTGTGTAACCAAAGGGACATAGATTTTTTTATTGCAACTATTAATTGTGTGCTTTATTTTGTATGTTATAAAATAAAACAGAAACAAGCACAAAATACCCCTTCAGTATGTTAAAAAATGTCATCTTGGGATAAAAGACATACTTGGGATCATAACTAGCTTATGAATAAATTATGCTAATTTACCTTTTCTGGGACTCCTTTCTATTCTGCTAAAAACATCCACGGGGTCTCTACAGAGATATCTCTTCTTGCTGCTATGGTAGGAAAATAAGCAAAGCAAAAACTGGTTAGGGAAAAAGATTTTGATGTGGTTTGCTAATTTGAGTGAGAAGCAATGTGTTGAGTACATCTTCACTGTAGAACCTCTCTTTATCAAAAACACAGTCAATTCCTCCAAAAAAGTTGTTGGTATCTAAACAACAGAAGTGTGTACAATTTTGAACGTTTGCTGAAATGCTTGCAAAGTATGGAGCATGCAGTATAGTAGACCTGTGTTTTTAAGCACAGCCAGAGTCTTAGTTTAATATCTCTTTCTTTTGCAGGAGGGCACCTCTTCAGTTAACTTCTCGTACTATACGTACAGTGTACCATCTTGAAGGTGTTTCTGATGAAGAGGCAGAGGCACCCAGCGGAGAACCATCAACTAATCATCAACAGCCTCAGCAAGAGTGATGTCATTCCAACATCTAACAGTGGAGCTTTCAATTCTAAACCCCTCAACCTACAGCAAGCCTTCTTCAGCAGAAACAGATGGAATAGTACATGACTCAACATAACGTTGAGACTGCTACTGTCAACGCATGACTTTTGAGAGTGACTGAACACTCCATATGAGTGAACTTAATCCTTTCTCTTCTTATCTTAGCCATGAATTTCACAAAGCACTTTATCTGGGATGAATTCAAATAATGGCAGAGTGTGAGAATAATTAAGTAATGATGTCACATGACATTGCAAATTTGGCATACAGGCATAGGAACCCATCCAGGCCTTTTATGCTATATTTGTCATTGTAGATTCAACATATCCCCATTTATAATTCTGCTCAATCCTATCCACTTTCACTTTTCCTTTTGTATCTGTATGGATTGTTATCGTTTTTCTTTGGTAATTCATATCTAGAACTGGTCTATATTTAGAGCTACAACTAAAACTAAAAGTGAGCCAGTGATTTCTAGATTCTATATACTGTAGGTCTTCATTTACTAAGGCTAAGGGGAAAAAATGAGGAATTCTTAACAGACAATCTGAGGTCGTATTGTTCTGACTATCGTAAAGTATTGAGAGTTGTAATCCTATTGCTGAGAGGACATCTATGTACTATATCTTTAAGTACGCCCATTGGATCATGTTGTGTTAATGCTTTATCACTATCACATTTAGTTTGAAGACCATACAATTAATGGAAATAACCTCAATCTGTGTCCATTGCCAAAAAGACTGCTGCATGGATATATGGGATAATGTACCTACTACTAAAACTTATAAGAATATTTGGGTTCACCATGGAGCTTATAGATCATATAGATGCCCAAGGCTAAAAGCAGAGTGCAGTTTTTGGGGTCACATAACTCCATAATAGATACTAATATTCTTTAAAGGGAACTCCATTAAGGGTAATCTATAGCACACCAGAAATTCTAATTCTTTAGTACTTATTTATTATTATACTCCAAAACTGGCCAATACATAGACTGATATACATCAATATACTCCAGTCTGTATAACTGTGAACTCTCTTAAATGGCACTGACTGAGGTGCGTGGTGGATGCGTCATAATTTAAATAACAACAATTTATTTTTTACAGTGTTCAGATTGTATTAATAGTCTACAAAGCCAAGTTTCAGGGCCATAGGCACTTGATTGAGGGAATGTTTTATATTGCCATCAAGTTTAAGAGCCAATTATTTGTATAACATTTAATTTCTTATGGCATTTATTCCTTGTTCTATTATACTAGATCTCTAGCATAAACCAATGCCAAGTGTACATGTATATTGTCGGCCTTATTGCCTCGATGTATTTATTCTGGCAGCACAGTTATCCCGCCCTTGTTTGTAATAGAATATGAAGAGTGTATTTTACTCAGTTGTAGACTTTACCTTGAAAGTGGCAGTTAGAATGATAATATAGGTGTTAACCTGTCACATGGCTGTAATTATGATCTAATGCTCAGGACAGCATTCTTCAAAAAACAACTAAATCATGTTAAATAGTAAAGCTTATATTGCTTTCTGTGCTTTATAAATCTCACTTCATTATGTGTGCACATAAAACTATGTTAAGTCATTTTTTTTCTAAGCCAAGTATACTTTTTCTGCATTATGTGAAGGGAATATTTTTACAGAAATAGATGAGATGGTTATCATTGGGGCCTTATTGACACCAAGTATTTTTAATCTTTTGCTAATTCCAATCAATTTTGCCAAAAAAATAAAAAATGTAAAGTATAGGGCCCTCCTATAAATATAACAAATAATAAGGCCTTTTCACCTTTCAGTAGTCGTTCTGCTTAGGAAGCTCTTTAGCCTTTGAATTTAGTACATCTGTCAATGAGAGATAATGCGGGCATATTATCAAATGCAATGTCAGACCATAATAGATCATATCATAGCTGTCAAAGAGAAGGGCTTCACAGACAATGACCAAGCTTTGGATGAATCTGGACAGCATGTAATTAGGTTATGACCTGAATTAATTCCATCTTTGGCTATTGTTTGGGAAGCATTTCTCTTTCACCACTAAAGACCCAGGACTGTCCTGTTGTATTTAGGGCCATATTTATTTTCCTGCTGATTGGGTTATACAAGCTGCCATTCCCCTGTTCAGTTTAAACATTGTAAATGGATTGGGAAACAGTTGCATGTGAATGTAGGACAGCCACCCATCTATACTGACCATATGTATTGGGCTCCTTAGGGTCTAGTCTTTATATGGGCATTTTCACTCATTAAAGCTACAGATGTCTACAGAACAACTCATTATTACAAATAAGTATAAGGTTCTTAATTGTAGTTTTTGGTCAGATGCATTCAGTATGTTATAAGGATAGTTATTTTAATGTGTCATTGTTGCACTGGAAACCCAAATAGTTTCAAAGGCTAAATAAAATGTACAAATCACCCTAGTATGTTAGTAGTATAAACAATTACAAATACCACTACTTGGGCATAGGTGATTTTTTTTAAATTAAGGGGTATCTAACTCTTAAGGATGGGTCCTTTAAATATGTAACTTCTTCCTTTTAAAGCAATATTGATATTTAGAAACTTTATGTTAAAGATTCTTGTAACTGGAATGCAACATTATTCTCACACGCTGCAATTTTTATAATTTCGAAATATGTGCTTGAGACCTTTATGGCATGATATCCAAAGCATAACACGGCGATAGAACACAATTTCAATATTCTGTAGGGAAAATTACTGCACATATGTTTTGCTATGCTGACAGGTCTTTTTCAGACATGATCATGTGTATAAAGATATTCCTGCATGACTTTCATGTTAATTCTGAAAAAATTAGTCATTTTTCTGTCAATGGAATTTGCTAAATTTATTTTTAAAAATGGTTTAATGGCGATGGCAAGGTGTTTTTTATCTTTGTTTTATTCTTTGATTTGAATTTGCTTTCCATGTTTATAAAGAAGAAACAAACAGTAAATTACAGGAAAAATGAATACTTGTCTAGCTGTCCTCCTTCTGGCAAAGCTAAGAGCCAAATCTATACATTGAAGGAAATTAAGATATATGCCTTTTATTAAAACATCATCCTAAACAGTTGTTTTTGTCCTGGTTATGTGTATATTTTTAACTCATGTGCTCTTATTTTATTGTATCTTACTTTACTTCTTCTTTGTTTTAACATTTAAAATAGATCATCAAGTCTTGTGTCTATATTGGTGGTTTTCTTTCTATGTCGTGGCTATCTGCAGTGATTCCAGCAAATTTACATAATTGTTTTATGGGACTACAACAAAAATACTTAATAGTTGTATCAATCAAATTATATGTTCAGTAGAATATTGTGTGAGAACATAGTTTAAAATTTAACATTTGCTATAATATAGAGAAGATAATGGAATGGTAATTGTGTCTAAGTAGTACTTTGAAAAATGTATCTGTTTCTTGTATTCCTACTAAAAAATAGTGGTGCATACTCACCTGGTATGTGAGTGTTTCTAGACACTCCTGTGCATATAGCCTCATAGCTGTATAATTGCAGTGTGAAATTTAAGGCACTGCTCACTCTGACTGCTAGTTACTGATATTTAATGATGCCACTACTGTGCTGCTCACTGTTCTGCTTGCTGGAGGCTCTAACATAAGAAAGAAAAACCCTGTCTATACTAAGACGGCTTCCTCACAAAGCCATTGCAGGACAAGGCATTGTAAGTCAGTAATGGGGGGCAAAGATCAACTGCAGGGGGACCAAAGGCAATAATGGTGACTAGTGCTTTTCCCTCTGCTTGCCCTTTTTGGGCAGAGCTTCTAGAGTTCAGTTCCTCTTCAAGCAGGGCAAAACAGTGGGCCCCTTCACTACCCAGAATGTTTTGCAATACTTCTCTTTCCCCTGACTTGGCAAAGACATATACACTGAGTGGCCAGATTATTATGACCACCCCATCAGTACTTCGTTGGGCCACGAGATGATTCCACGAGATGACTTCGTTGGGCCGCCTCGTGACTCCACGAGATGTTGAAAGGTGATGCGAGGAATCTGACACTGCACTGTTGCCCTTCTGTTGTCTTGTACCAGTCTTGCCACTCTCCGTTCTGCCCTAACATTGACTAGTTGCTGACGGCCACAATTCGCACGTTCAGACCCAGATTTTCGGCTGACAGTCCAGTCTTTAAACACTTTAACAACAGCTGCTCTTGAACATTTAACGAATTCTGCTGTTTTGCTGATACTCGCTCCATGGCTCCGAGCGCCAACAATCATCCCACGTTGAAAGGCTGTTAAATCGCGTTGTTTACCCATATCTTCAGAAAAAAAATCACTTCTACTGTCGTGGTAAACAACCTGCTTCCCTATTTATAATGGTCTGGCCCTCTAGCAACTTCAGCGCAAAATTATAGCTAATTTGCCTACAAACGTCAGGTGGTCATAATAATCTGGCCACTCAGTGTATATACCTGAAAAAATGTAATACTTCATCTCTTTCTCCACTGTTATAGTTTACAAAGTTACTCTTCTAACTGTAATCCCCCTATCACAGAGGAGAAAGGGAGCCATCGAACCGGGCTTACACTGGTACCAGCCTGGTAGTCCAACAATGTGGATGACACTGTGGAGAATCTGGGAGGCAGTAGAGATGGGAATAAGGCAGTGGTTGGCAGAAAAATAGGGCTGCTCTCTATTCTGATGGTCCTCTTTGCAGTTAAAACCATTGCAAAGCCTCTTCAAAGCAATGACAGCTGCCAGCGCCTGCAGCCATTTGTATGTATTTGGACATGCTGTGATTACCTGTAGACGAATACCAATTGTCCACAGGTAAACGCAGCATGTGTGATTACATGGGACCACTGGCAGCTGTCATTGCCTTGAACAATGCTTCCCGCTTGCAGCTGTTCATGAGTCTCACGGAACAATTCATGAAACTCATGCAGTTGGTTCCTTTCGAACGTGTGAATGAGGCCTTATAATCCAGAATAAATGTATTAGTCGCAGCCTGCTTAATCAGTGACTGGAATCTCTGCTGGAATCCTTTCTTGCATCCAGTCCAAACGTTTCAAGCCCTGATGAAGGGGATGCATGAAACCCCCAAAACTCATTGGCATTTATATAGAACTTTATGACTAGTACACTGAGAGCTGAATGGTGGTCTCTTCTCTATCCATTACAAGTTTGCAAAGTAGGCAACTGGTGGTTCATTCTTCAATCTCACAAATGGAAAACACGCGTTTAAGATTTCCGGTATATTTAAAGAATGACTCCAAGCAAAAAATACATAATTGTTACGCATCTATTTAGACATTTCTGCAGTGAATTCTGTTAGGAAACACTGATTGGTATAACTGCCTGAATAGAGCCATGTAAAAGAAGGAGAAAGAAAGCTGTCACAGCATATTGGATAAACAAAGATTGGTACACAGCTTCATGGGTGATTACATTACCAAATCTACATTTTATTGTTCAATTGCAGTATAACCCTTTCATTCGAATATATTAAGGCACTGTCAAAATTGGAATCTGTTTATACAGGGTATTGCTCATAAAGAACTAAAGATTATTAAATTCCTAACGATATTAGTCATTACATAGCATGAGACTGTTTTCATGCAACTTTGAACTGCTTATCACATTTAAAATGCAAAAACAAAAAAATAAATAATTGCACGTCTACCGCCTACCCCGAAGTCTTCTTTGCCAATGTTAATAACAACAAGGACTGGTCTTTTATTTAGGCATATGTTTGTGTGTACAGTGAACCTCTCCTCCCCCAAGAATAACTGAATTGAAGAGGC